GAAGAGCGGCGCACCTCGGGACCGGTGGGGGCGGTGGTTTCCCCGGCCCCCCCCCCAGGCAGACATGGCGCTGCCCGCACCCGGGAGTCCTCCAGAGCAGGGGCGGGAGCAGCAGCTCAGAGCCTAGCTTGGGCGCCAGAGGGAGCTCGAGGGGACCCGCCACGGCGCCATCCCTGCAGCTGGTTCAAACTGGTTTGGACAGGGTGCGGCCTGGGCGGGCTGCATTCCAGGCCTCGGGCTCGCCCCCTGTCTCGGGGCCTCCCCAAGGGCTGAGGACTCAGAGCAGGGACCACTGCGGGTAGGGCCTAGGGGAGGAGCCGAGCAGCCCTGGGCAGCTGGGAGATTTTCACAAATTCTGCCCCCTTTGTTTAAAATCGTTCATTTGGTCCCCCCACGAGACCCGCCTTTGCCAGCTGCAAGGAGCCCCTGCCTAGGGATGGTGCGCTGACTTGGCCGGGATTGGAACCCACTGCTGGGCTGGTTCGAATGCAGAGGCCCTAGATTGTTCAAAGAGTGTAGAGTAGGGCTCCGGGCATCTGTATTTTATGCAAATGTTTCTAAGATATAATCTCAATTTAGGGGGAAGAGACTAGGAGCCAGATGGCTGCTGGCCGGCCAGCTTGGCCCTGGTGCAGTGTGGCTGCCCAGGGAGGCCTGGACCCGCCCACAATCAGTCTGCACCCTTAACTCACACCCCAGACTATTTATTTAAAAATTAGCCGTTTCAGGCATAAGGGTTTAAATGTTATAACAAACATAAGCTGGAGAAATAAAACATTAGGAACAGTAGGGAAATCCCCCTCGGACCCCTCCCCAGTTCCCTCTCCCCTACTCCAAAGTAACCACTTTCCTGCCTGCGGATTCGTCATTGCCTTGGCCGGCTCCACCCTCGGCTCCATCTGTCTGTATCCGTAAACAATATATGGGGTGGTTTTGCATGTTTTAAAAACTGTATGTTAATGGCAGAATGCCCTACACAGCGTTCTGCAACTCGCCCATTTTTCCTTAGCATTCTGCTCAAATGTCTCGGTGGGGGAAGTTCCTTTAGCTCTGGTCTCCTTGGCCAATCTGAGGCAGCTTTGGGCTTTTCAGGGGGGAGGTCCCCAGCTAGCAGCTGAGGGGAGGCTCTGAGAGGGTTCGCCTGGTCCCTGGAGAGCCCCAGCACTGAGAAAGCGGAGCAAGGTTGAATGACTAAGTGCCGGCTCAGTGCCATCCTATAAGGCCCTTTTCCCTAAGCACCTGAGGCCCAAATTCGGCCAAGAATTTTCCAGAAAATGACTATGGCCTGAAGGTTTGAACCTTTGGATATGGATGTGGAAAAATGAGCAGTGGGCAGATCTGGAGATGGAACTGCGCAGTGAGGGGCTACGCAGCAGGCAGGTCAGGTGGGTTTAGAATCTCACTTAGGGTTACCAGATAAAACAGAAACTTGGATCGGGGCAGGAGGGGCCTCCGGTGTACTGACTTGCAGTCCTGAGATCAGCTCCTGTGTTTATTTATTCATGCACATGTGCTCCTGGGGGGGGGAGGGAAAATGAGAAGCACCCCCCACCCAGGGCTCAGCGCCCCCCACTGTCCCCTCTCCTTCATTCTCCTCTCAGGATGGTGGGCACGGGTCTGCGGGGTTTAAGCTGCAGGACCCAGCAGTCAAACTATTCGGTAGACCCCGTGGGATCCAGCCACCTTAACCTCTATGTCATCTGCAGGCCCAGCCTGATTTCTAAAATGAAATTAATATTTTGAAAGAAGAGTCATCATGCGAAAAATCAAAGCTCTAGACTTTCCCATACCCCTTGACCTCTTTAAGGGGTCTCTGCCCCGGGTGGGGGAGGAGTTCAAATTTAGAGCTCTCAAAAATCCCTCATTGTAAAGCTGCCCTGCGAGGAAGAGGAGGCCGACTACGCCTGTTCCCTAATGGCTGGGCTTCTCCCCCTGCGCTGGTGAGCGGCTTACGAGGATGGGCCTGCGGGTCTGGCAGCTTTGAGCTTTAAAGACGACTCCTGTAGGCCTGCTCTCTAGCCTGGCTGCCCATTGGAACCACCTGAGAAGTTTTAGAAACGCCTGGTGCCCAGCTCCAACCCCCAGGGTTCATGGCCCGGCGGGAGGCCTGACTTCTAGGTCTCTAAGAGCCCTCAGGGGATCTGATGTGCTGGAGCGGCGAGGGTAGAAGGTGCGGCGGGGGCTGGGAACACAGCTCTGTCCGATTACAATGGAGAGGCACGCGCCTCTAAACCCATGGTTCTCAACCTGGCTGTATTTGGAATTACCTGGAGAGCTTCGAAAACTACTGGCGCTTAGACAGCAACCCCAGAGACTGTGTGACCCGAGCTTTGGAAGTTTTTAAAGAACCTCAGGTAATTGCAATCTGCAAACGAGTGTGCGAATCTGTGATTGGCCAGGTGGTACGGGGGCGGGCGCACTTCGCGCCGTGGGCCACTGGGTGGCGCTGCGCACACGGCCGGGCGCTCCAGGAGCTGCGGGCCCGACAGCCGGGTGCGCACCTGCTCCGCCTCCGCCAGGCGGACCGCGGGGCATGCAGCGGGTCAGGGGCGGGGCTCAGAGGTCCAGGCGTGGCGACCGGCTCTTGGTACCCTCTGCCAGCCGGACCCTGCTGCCTCCTGATGCTGCTCGTGGACGCCGACCAGCCAGAGCCCATGCGCAGCGGGGCGCGCGAGCTCGCGGTCTTTCTGACCCCGGAGCCCGGGGCTGAGGTAGGGGATCAGGGCGTGGAAGTGGTGGAGGGGGTCTCCAGGTTAGGGGTCTGGGGTCTTGAACCCAGATCGAGACCCTCGGCTTCCCCGCAGCATCCTCTTGCGCCAGAAATGGGGAGCTCAAGGGTCCCGTCCTTCCCTAAGCGGTGGCTGGCTGACGCCACCCAGAGATGCACGGCTGATCGCGTCCGCTTCCTCCCTGCAGTCTCCCTGGACCCCGACTTGACCTTCTTCTCTACTGGTGTCCGCGACAAGGCGGGCAGAGACGCGCTGGGATCTGCTGTCCCAGGGCAAGCCGCGCTCCCGGGAGGCCGGACCCCCGCCCTGCCCCATCCCCAGCCCGGGCTCTGGGCCCCCGCCGCGGACCTTTGCCGGGGGTGCTTGGAGCCGACCGCGGGCTGCATCTGCCCGAAAGCCCTGAGGCCGCGGTCGGCTGCTGCCGGGAGAGAAAGTACCCCGTCTCTGCCGGTACTTTCTATTTCAAAGCATGAAAGAAAACGTAGATCTAAAACTAGACCCTTCATGTTCCAGCCGTTGGCGCCTGTGGACGGCCTGATGAAAAAGTTATCGACTAGTGTAATAGTTACTGAGGGCCAGAAAGGTAGCCTATTCTTTTTTTTTTTTTAAGAATTTATAGAATTATTTTATTTAAGTTTATTTATTTAAAGAATTATTTAATTTTATTCATTCATTTAGTTATTTCAATCTGACGAGAGAGAGAGAGAGAAAGTGAGAGAAACTGAGAAAGCAAACTAAACCAAACCACCAGGTCCAGGACTTAAACCATGGTCCACCGTGTGAGAGGGTCCAGCGCCTTAACCACCACTCCACCTGCTGGTCCCCCCATTTACTTATGTTTAAATTTGATCAGAGAGGGACAGAGAGAGAGAGAGAGAGAGAGAGAGAGAGAGAGAGAGGGAAAGTGAGAAAGCAAGTCACTAGGTCCACAGTCGGTCTTGTGGGAGTCCAGTGGCCTTAACCACCACGCCACCTGCTGGCCCTCAGCCTATTCTCTTTTTAAATCTTAAAAGCAGTATTAAAGTATTTCAAATAAAGAACAGCGTCTCTCTCCTTTTCCTCTTCCACCCCAATTCTAGTTTCTAGAGAAAGACAGCGGCGTGGTCATCACAGCATTGGAACAAACTCACTCACAGATGCGCGCACCTGTGCGCTATATTAGTGTGTTGTTTTAAAAGAATTATTTATTTAATTTTCTTTTTCTTTAATTTAACCAGAGAGAGACAGAAAGTAAGGAAGCAAGCTGCCAGGTCTGGGTCTCAAACCTCAGTCGGCCATGTGGAATCCCAGTGCTTCAACCCCACGCCACCTGCCAGCACCCTATATTAGGTTTTGCAGACCCCTCGGTGCTGTGCCTGGTGGGCAGATTGCTCTGCTGGACTAAGAATAGTGTGGGCAGAGGGGAGGTGGCCACTCACGAGATCGGGACTTCCTTCTGGGTGATGGAAATACTGAGGTAGTGGTGACGGTTACACAACTTCGTGAATTACGGACAGTCACAGAACTGTACGCATCCGAAGGGCACGTCTTATACCTTTAGTTTGCTAGGACATGTGTGCTCACAGGGAGGGACAGACAGGAAGTGAGAAATCACCCTGCAGTGGCCTTCTCTATTCTCGGTTCTCAGGATTTGGGGCTCACATGCACATATGCCTGGCATGTTTCTCAAGCTACCAGATCCGGGACTCGAACCATGAAGTCAGTCCAGTGGGATCCAGCTCCTTAAGCTGGCCCTACAGGGTGCATTTTTATGGTATATGAATTACATCTTGGTGGGAAAAAATAGCACAGAGTCCCATGTCAGACCGTGTCTGTAAGAACTTCCTAGCAGGAATATGACTGGTTAACCTGATTTATTCAAAACACAGAGTGTTCCTGTACTGAAAAGCTACCCCGTGGCCTATAAATAGGTACAATTACTGTTGATTAAAAAGCATAGAAGAAAGATATGAGAGAATTGGGAAATTGCAAAAACAAATATAGTTTGAGCCACAAATAAAGGCCATTTATGTAATTTTTTTTTTTAAGTTTTTGCCATAAGGCATGTGCACTCACCAGACAAAGTCAGAGAAAGAGTGAGAAATCAATCACTCCCTGGTGGGATGGCCACGCTGTAATCCCTTTCCCTCCATTCTCCTCTCGGGATTTTGGACACACACATGTACCAAGCATGATCTTAAAGCCACCAGGTTTGAGGGACCAGCAGATGGCATATTGGCTATGTTGCTGGGCTCCCATGTAGTCAACCACGGTTCAAGTCCCAGACCTGGTGGCTTAAACTCACGCCGGACGCATGTGCGTGCATGCCCAAAATCTCTTTATGTGAATGAAGGTCAAGGGATTGCTGCACAGTCATCCTCCTGGGGGGTGATTTCTTGCTTTCTGTCTCTCTCTGTCTCTCTGTCTTTCTGGCGAGTGCATGTACCCTATGGCAAAAACTTCTCAAAAAAAAAAAAAAAAAGCCACCAGGTTTAAGATTCATACCACAGTCAGCATGATTTTTTTTTAAAAGAATTATTTTGTTTTAACTTTATTTACTATTATCATTATTATTTTCCAGTTTGATCAGAGAGAGACAGAGAGAGAGAGAGAGAGAGGAAGTGAGAAAGCAAGCCACCAGGTCCAAGACTTGAACCGTGGTTGGCCATGTAGGAGTCCAGCTCCTTTAACCACCATGCCACTTGCCAGCCCCGACAGTCAGCATGATTTTAAAACCACCGGGTTTGAGATTCAAACCATGCTGGTTCTAGCCACTTACGTACTTTTTTTCTTTTTTAGGAGATTTTTTGCTGCAGGCCACCTGCACTTGCCAGAGAGACAGAGACAGAAAAGAACTCACCCCCTGGGGGAATGGCCATGCCGCAGTCCCTTCTCCATTCTTCTCTCTGGATTTTGGACATGCACGCACATGTGCCTGGCATGAGTTTTAAGCCGTCGGGTCCGGGACTCAAAACACAGTTGACTATATGGGAGTCCAGTGATGTAACCGTTATGTCATCTGCTGGTCCCTCCATTTACGTCATTGTAAATGTTCCAGAAGCCACAGGAAAAAGAAACAGATGAAATTAATTTCTTTCATTTTCTTTCTTTAATTTTGCTAGAGGGTGCATAAGAGAAAGAGAAAAATGAGAAAACTCCTCCCACGGGGAATGGCACTCTGCAGTCCCTTCTCCTCCGTTCTCCTTTCAGGATCTGGACAGGCACGAGCAGGCGCCCGGCACTCTCTCAGGTTGTGAGGTGCGGGACTGGGACCACAGTCGGCCGTGGGGGTCTCGCTGCCTGAACTATGACCCTACCAGCTTGCACCCATATCTTTAAAATATGCCAGAGGGTATATGTACTCTTCAGAGAGGGGGGAGGAGGACCTCCCAGTGGGGCGAGAGCAGGTCACAGGGCCTACTCCATTTCTCATCCCGTTGAAGCCACTGGGCCAGGATCTTTTTATTTGTTATTTATTTATCTATTATATTTGTTGTGATTTTCAAGACACTGGGTCTGCGATTCAAACTTCGGTCAGCCATGTGGAATTCAGAGCCCTAGTGACCATGCCACCTGCTGGCCCTCGGGCCAGGATTTTTTTTAGAGTTTTTTTTTTAAAGAATTATTTTATTTAACTTATTTATTTATTTTAATTTGACCAGAGAGGGACAGAGAGAAAGAGAGAGAGAGAGAAAGGGAGGGTGAGAAAGCAAGCCTCCAGGTCTAGGACTCGAACTGTGGTTGTTCATGTGGGAGTCCAGCACCCTCAACCACCATGCCACCTGCTGGCCCCTTGGCTGAGATTTTAACTGCCGTGTGGGATCTGGCTCCCTTAATCACTAGGCCTAGACCAGTCCCATTTAAGTGCTCTGTGGTGACACGAGCCTGGTGGCTTTTGTACTGGGGAGCCTTGGTCAGCACCTTTAGTCCCTCCTGTCCAGGCCGGAGTAGTAATTGCTTCTGTCTCCCGAGTACGCACCGCGTACACCAGCAGTGAGCTGAGCCGTGCGTGGGTTATGTCATTGTGTCATGGAGGGACCCTGGGACTAGGATGCTGTGTCGATTTCACCGCTGAGCAGACTGAGGCTCTCACGGAACAGATGGTGTCGTGCGGCTGCACTGTCGCTTACGGGCTGTTGGCAAGTGGGTGGGGGCTGCCGCTCTCTGCCAGGCTGGCCCTGGGGAGGCCTGACCCTTCATTCACACGTTGGTCCAGGGACCCCGCGACCTGGGCATGGGCATATAGGTGGTCTGCAATCGTTTGCTGGCTTAAGCACCTGCCCGCCTTTCTCATTCTCTCTCGCTCTCAGCAGTCAGAAGCCACTGTGCGCAGTGGCCAGACCCCAGCTTCATTTAGTCTCTATTAGGGACGGCCTTTGAGAGAGACTGCGAGTGCTAACTTCATTTTCTCACTCAGGGCTCTTTAACGCGGACCTGGGTTGGTTCGTGCTCATCTGTAAGAGACGTAATGAAGAGCCCAGCTCCCGGTAGCTCCACGCGGCAATAAAGCCACTTACAGCACTTGCTAGAGTTTATTTACTAGAGGCAGCAGAGGCTGTGCCGGAGCAGTCGCGGGGGCCTCGCTCAGCGCAGAATTCATTAGCTGATCCCCTCGCGAGGCTGCTCAGAGCCGAATTCATTAGCGGATCCCCTGGCAGAGGCCCACGGGTGGGCCAGTGAGCTGGGAAGGGGAGGCGGGTGTGGGCGTGGGGAACTGGCCTGGCCAGCGCGTCCCTCCTCCCCTCCCTTCTTCCTGGTGAGGGACAGGAGGTGCACAGAGGGCAAGTTTCTCATCCACCCGAACTTCAGGGCCCCGCCTACAGAACACCAGCGTTTTCCAGGGTCCTTGGGAGCCTCAGCTCTCACGATGCGGTAGTGGCGAAGGCGGTTGTCCACACGGATTTACACACATAGTGCCATTGCTACACGGGCACCAGGTCATGGATCTTCCGTCCATTCATTTATCTCTTCTGCGAGAGAGAGAGAGACAGGCACGTGGAACG